CCTTATTCTTTTACATTCTTTCAGCACATCTGACCTATCATCTCAAGTGATCTTCTTTTTCTTACTATAACTGTTTTCTTTCATTTGGTTTGTACCATTGCCCCCACACTGTGGACTTAAACAATTGTCAGCAGGCACATTAGGGTGGTCATTTTAATACCAGTTTATATAGGGTGAGGCAGCAGTTTGCTGCCAGCTGCCAAGAGAGAAACATCAGGTAGCTGAACTATGGCTCAGGAGCATCTTGGAGGTAAGGGCTGGAGCTTTTGGTATGGTTTAAAGGCTTCTGGACCTGGGCATGACCTAAAACTGAACCCTGCTGGAGTAAGGAGGCCTGGAGGGACTGCCAGTGGTGTGGCAGCCCCACTTAAGTGCTAGGGCTAATCACCTCCCCAGTGAAAGGTGCCTTAACCCCAGCCCCCACCATTTAGTGGGTACATAGGAACTAAGGGGAGGACCTAAGGGGTGTAATATTATGATAGGAGGGCCCAAGGGGTGTAGTGTGATGCTGAGAGGCCCCACTGGGCACAGAGTTATGCTGACAGCCTGCTCAGAGTAGGGTGCAGCAGAGTGCCTGAAGGACTGCATGGTTTGGGGTGCAGAGAAGGGCTGCAGAGGGTGGCTTGAAGGGCTGCATCAGAGGAGTATTGAATAGGGCTGCCATGGCAGCTTGAAGAGTGATACATGGGCCAGCCCCATGTGAGACAAGTTGTCCACTGAGGGTCTAGGACAAAAGCAGCCCAGCAAAAGCATAAGGTGCCACCACATAGAGTAGGGGAGCATGAGCGAACTGAAGTAGCTGCGTGGCAGGGCTGGAGTGAGAGTAGCAAAGCCTGGAGGCCCAAAGGGGTTGCTCAAGGGAAGGAAGGGCAGTGGAGTGTGACCTAGTGATAGGATGTATGCAAGTGGCCCCTGTGAGAGGGAGCAGAGTGTATGTGGCTTCTGTGAGAGGGGGACAGCATGAATGAGTGTGAGCAAGAGGCCAAGAATAGATGGAATTTGCTCAGGCCTCAGACCGGGAAACAATAATAATGTGAATGTCACCTGTGAGGCATGGGCCATGGTGTAGGGAAGGTACAGAGCTGTGGATAGTGCTCCATGGCATCAGGGCAATGTAAGGGCAGCCTCCCGCTTATTATATCATATTAAATTCAAGTCATGGAAGGAAAGTTAGGGTGGACTGCCCTAGGCAGGTGGGAGGGCCAACTTATGATCTGGCCTTGAGTTTTCCCCTTGTCACAAGGGGCTGGCTGGGGCACAAAGATGCTTCAGCATGGGGCTAGCCATCAGGCACTAAAGCATCTTTGCCCCCAGCAACCCAGGCTAGTCTCTACACATGCACTGCTGCACATGAAAAATCTCTGCAGCTGGGTAGTACTTGTAAATTTATTAGTTTTCTCTGCCCTAATAAGGCACATGTGTAGAGGCTGAGATGTTTACTGCGGAGCTAATTAGTCAACTGCAATAAACCTTTTCTCTACACATGCCTATGGGAATTCTTATAAGCATTGGATCTAAAGTGATGCTCAGTTGGTTAGAGTGTGGTGCTAATAATACCGAGGTCATAGCTTTGATCCCCCTATGGGACATGAAATGTTTCTTACCTGAGGTAGGGGGGTTGGCCTGGATGACCTCTTGAGGTCCCTTCCAGCCCTATCTGTCTATGACTCTAAGACCTTGGAGAAACATGAAGTAACAGTCCATACCAATTGACAAGGGGTAGATTCTACTCTTGTCATGATGAGATATTCCTTTATGCTTGGAGGATGAGGACTGAGATCATGCCTAGCTCTTATATTAGAGTAATACGTCTAATCAAAGCTTTGCATACCTGAAGAAAAATAGACATAATTTAGCCCTAAATTGGGATGTAGTAGTAATTCCAATTTTATGTTTTTATGAATTACTTATGTATTTAAATGACAGATGTGTAATTATATAACTCAGTGGTTCCCGAACTGTTGTCTGTGGTCCTTAGAAAACTTGCTTATCATATGATGCTGGCTCTTCTCCTTGTTTCCAACTGCTAAATTGCATTAAACAACAGTTAAAAATAAATTACTTTGCTGTTATTACTTTTCCACATAGGCAACTACTGCAGTTGCCACAGGGATATTATCTGATTCTTAGCTGAAAAGAGGTGGTCCATGTAGTTGTGAATGAGAGAACAAAGGGCTTAGAAGATACTTTGTTGCATTATGATTCATACTGGGAGGAAGCTTGGAAACCTCTAACATAACTCCTCAGCCATTCATTCATTACTTATATTCTGCTGGATATGAAAAAGTTTGTGACTTGTTTCTAAAAATTCTGTTTCTGGCATGAGACTGCTGTGTTCTGCAAAGTCATTACTATTAATTTTTATAGCAGTTTTGTTTGGATAAAATGATACAGATGCATGTTCCTGATCTTTGCTTTTTCGTAATATGTCCTTTTCGGCAGACTGAAAATTTAATTTTACAGGATATGTCATAGTCCTCAATGTAGCTGTAAAAATCCACTAATAAAAATCAAAGAATATCATAAAGAATGGATAAAAGAGGATAGAAAATCTTAAACAGTTCTGCATTAAAATAGCAAAGTTTGAAGGCTGGCTGAAGTTTGATATAAAATTCAAGGACAAAAAATGGCTACACATTTTTACAGAGAAAAGCACTCTATTTCTTTCTTCACTAAAAATCTACATCTACAGGGTAAAAGTCTACTAAGTATTTCAAAACAAGTTACCTGTGGGCAGATCCATGATATCAATTAACTATCTTAACTATAGATGAAGTTGTAGAGGAAATTGATGAACTAAATAGTAGAAAATCACTAGGACCTGATGGCATTCACCCCACGGTTCTGAAGGAGCTCAGATTAGAAGCTGCTGGACTCCTAACTGTAACATGCAGCCTATCACTAAAACCAGCCTCAGTATCAAAGTACTGGAGGGTTGCCAGTGTGATTCTCATGTATTAACATCTCTATATAAAAAAGGCCCTCTACATCTGTCCCACTCCCCTTTGCCTTCAGGCAACCCTGGGCTGCTGGGCTATCACCTAGAGCCCAGCATCACTCACAGGGAACGTGTCACGCCAGGCTGGGTCCTACCTCCATGGGCCTCATGCACCATTAAGCCGAGCTGGCTTTATAGGTAGGACCCAGCGCGGTGCAACATGTGGTCCCTGTGAGTGGGTCCAGGCCCTAGGTGACAGTCTGAGTGGCCCAGACCTGCTTGAAGGTGCATGGTGCTGCACTGTGCCTCGCTGGGCCAAGCCCATGACAAGTGGCACAGGCAGCACCAGGTCTGAGGCAACCAGTGCTGAGCCATGCCATGGCAGACTTTGCCAGCAGAGGGCCCTGAGCGCAGAGGCGAGCTGTGGGTTTTGTGGGGGTAGGGGGGCGATGGGACTGAGTACCTCACGGGGGACCCATGCCCCCTGACCAACCCTCCCCACCAGGGTGTGCATCACCATGGGCTGTGCCTGCAGCCAGGCCACAGGCCAGCTTGCTGCTGACAAGGGTCTGACTAGGGCATGAGAGTACTAAAGTGTAGGGCTAGGTGGCAGACACCCCCAGCACTTTAGCACCCTTGTGTTCCAGCCAGCACCTGTCACCATCTACATGTGCATTTCAGTGCACATAAATACTCCACATAAGTACTCCCTGGCAGTACTTTCAGTTCACGTAAAAAAATCCCCACAGTACTATCTTATGGTGGAGTTAATTAATTTTACTGTACCCTAATACCAGCACACATGTAGATGGTGATGCTTTACTTCTGAGCGAATTAGTCTATTTTGCAGTAAAGCATACATGTAGATGCACCCAATGTGTAATTAAAGTATGGAACTCGTTGCCATCAGATGTGGTGGAAGCTGACAGTGAGATTCATAAAGGGATAGGACAAACTCTTGGAGAGAAAGGAGATCAGTATCTATTGAGCATGGGAGTTAGGGATACAGCCTCTAAATCACAGGTTCCTAGACCTTAAATGCTGGAGGCTGCAAGTGAGAGGGGAACAGAAGAAAAAACCCTGGACCCTGGACACACCCAGTTTACTCTTCCTTTCAGCACCCACTTTCTGCCACTGTGTGATATGGGATACTGGGCAAGATGGACCTATGGTCTGACCCAGTAAATGACCGTTCTTATTTTAAGAAGATATATTTGTGCATTTGCAACTCAGCAAGCAGTTGAACCATTTACACCTAAGACTTGGAAACTTAAATTCAATAAATATCTTAGCTAACTTCCTTTTTAGGAAACAAATCTCATTCATTTTCATGTATCTTTGTATTATTTAATATGCTACACCTTACTTAGAGTTGTGAAATAAAAAAAAAAATACTACTGGGTGTGACGACGATAGGTATTATAGGGTTTGCTAGCACTGCCCTGAGCTTGTCTGCCTACAGGTGGTGACAGGGTGGACCTTGGCTCTGGATCACCTGGTCTGCTAGGAAGTGGATCTTATGTTTTCTCACCTGCCACAACTTTGATGACATATGTATTCCTGGGGGGCACTGCCCATGGTGATCCTGCCTGGTCTCGATCCCTGTTTCTTCTGTGGGGCTCCAAAACCTCCCCTTTATCCTAGGGTAGCCTCTCCAGATGGTGTTGATGATATTCTTCCACAGCTAGATCACAGTGCTGCCTGTTGTGGTCTTATTTGGCCACAACAGGCCAAATAGTAGAAAATCACTAGGACTCAGGGTGTCCTTGGGCCTCTTTTGGGTGCATCCTTCCAGGGGCCGGTCTTGGCCTGTGCTCAAGAAAATCAAAAGAAACAGCAAAAAAACCCACAGAAAATCCTGGCTGCTTCTCAGCCTTCTTGTCAGGCTCCGGCAATGTCCCTTTTACTCGTGATCAGGTGCTCAACATCCCAATCACCATAAACCAGACAAAAATCCCTTAGTCTGTACTTGGCTATGTGCTAGCCTGCCTTGCACTCCTATGAACATTCACTGTCTCTTTGGGGTGTCCCCCATGTGCAGGAAGACTCTACCCGTGGCTGGAGTTTTTCCTTCAGGCCCTCCTCCAGATCCTCTGTTGGAAAACTATACTCCAGAGATTCTCTCAGGCCTTGTGGACTCCCTCACTCTGGATCCTCAGCTGCAGCTCTGCTCTGGAGATTACCACTAGCCTCCTGTTTGCAGGCCTCCGCCTGCCTCAGGGTCACTCCCGCGGTGCCTTCCACAGTTTCCGCCTACCAAGAGGCTCAGCCGCTCCTCTCTCCCTGAGGCCTGCAGGGAACTGACCCCGCTCTGCCCCTCTCCTAGGCGGGAAGTACCTTTGAGCAGCCTTCCTCCTCCAATCCTTAGCGAGAGGCTGCTCCGGAAGTTGGGTTGGTATTTTCCTTCCTTTCCAGTCTCCAGCTGCAGCTCTGCCGGCCCTCCATTTTGTAAGCCTCGCTCCTTCACACTGGGATATTTTTCAAATGCACTCTGCCAAATATTATTTTGCTTTGGTCATATTTACGGCGCTGTCATTAGTGTTCTGAACTAGATCTTTTATTGTTGTTTATATTTCATATTTGCTTGCATTTCTGTTTAAACTTTTTATGACCTTGGACCTCGATAATCTCATTAAAGATTAAATAGTTTATTATAGTTTTGCATCACTTTCCACTCTAATCAGAAGTACAAAAGTTTTCTTAAGTGAATTACCTGTAAAACATTCTAGTAATGAGAACAGAAAAAGCATTTACTAATTTAAATACTGAAACAAAAAATAATCTAACTCTATGGGAGAAGTCACAAATTTTAGATGAAGACAAAATAACTTATTTACAACATCCAAATTCTTTTTTCTGGCTTCTTAAATGAATATAGCTGAAGCATTGAACATCAGTATTATTCTAACTCCATTTTCAATACTCAGTGTTGTATTTATTTTTTCTCTCAAAATATTTGTCATACTTAATATACTGTTACTGTTAAAAAAATCATTTAAAAGAAGGGATATAAAGCTTTTTAAAGTAGTTGGCAGATCTTTCTGAATATTATAAAGCATTGTTTAAATTTTATGCTGTTGTTCAATTTGACCATGTCCACTTGGTGTCTGCTGTCCAAAAATATTTATGTGAACAGGTTTTTCTCTATATGATGATCTGGGGAATAACCATTCCTTATTCAAATTGTTATATTGGTCTATAAATTAATATGAATATTTGTCATTCTACCTACATTATTTTTTATTTTTCATAGATTTCTGTCATTGGGTCAGAGAGAAGAAAGAATACTACGCAACTTATTTGACCAATCACACACAATGGATAGTCAAAATGACAAAGGAATAGAATCTGTATTAAAATGGTAGGAGCAAGACATACAGTAATTTAGACATCAGAGGGCATGTCTACACATCAGGCTATGTTGCCACAGCAATGCACTATAGTGACGTAGCATCAGCCAGCACAAACCGTGATGCCACAACTATTTTTTCTGTAGTAATGTGCTCCCTTGGTATAGCATGTTGTTACAGCACTGTAGAGAGAGGCTAAAAATAACCATGCACCACCAGCATGGTGCAGTATGGGCTGTTACTGCACTGTCATTTAGTACTTCCAAAAGGAAGTACTAAATGACATCACAGTAACAATGATGTGATAGGGACACAATAGGAACACATGTAGATGTGCTCAGTGAGATTCAAAAAACTTTGCTCTTCTTACTTAATCAGTCTGCTGCTATTTTTTTTGTTTGTTTTAAGAACTTAAATACAGCTGATCGAATATTGTGCTTAAAACTCTGTTGTTAACTTTCTGTTTATTATTTGTTATAACAAGGACAAACTCTATACTGGAAGGGATTACTAGTATGTTCTGGGGTCAGAGGTTAACCCTGGCTCATTATCACCTGGTAGCACTATTCAATCTGGAGTACTGAAAAAAGTGGGAAATGGGCTTCATAGCTGAGGTGTCCTGATAGAAGTATTTTGTGTGTGAGCCACTGGATTAAAACTAGAAACACTAATGCCCAAACTCAAGCCCCCTTATCTAAGTAACTTCTTACACACTACTTAGCATACTCCACTCTGGCCATTTAAGCTCTATTGGTGTTATACGCTGTGTACACACATGTAGATGATATGTGAGAGTTCCCTTAGCTTGTTTTGTTGTAGGCAAAATTACCCAAAGATGCCAGGCTGATGCTGCACAGCCAGGGTGCCCTTGTTCATACATCTCAGTGTGCTCTGTAGGTTCTCTCAGTCTTCTTGGAGACAGATGGTAGCAATGTACAAGGCAATCCTGATTGACAGTCCCAAATTACTCAGGATCAGCCTGTGTCTCCCTGCAGCACAATGTATGCATTTTGAAGGGGCATGTTCTGCTCCCTGCTTGGGCAGAATGGTCAAGTACATTGAGTGATATGCTCTCTCCCAGTGGGCAGGGAAGAGGGGAGCAAAAGCAAAGCACCCTGGTATGCTGCAGGACTCAGCTGTGTCTTTTTTCAGAAGCAGAGCTAGCCTTAGGGAAAATGGTTCCCTGGGTGAACCCTTCCCCAACAAGTCAGTGGTGCTGCCTCAGGCAAAAGTCAAAGGCAGATGGGCAGGGGTGTGGGGCACAGTCTGGCATGGAGGTGGGTGGCAGGCACTTCTGCTGCTGTGTGGGAGCAAGGTAAGCAGACTGAAGTAGGCATCACTTTGCATGCACAGGTCTGGTCTGGCTTGTCCTGAGCAGTGGCTGGAAGTAGTGGGTGGGCTGGGCACCACTCCTCCTGACTGGGGTGGGTATCAGCCAGGAGGGGTGGGAGGAGAGTCCTGCTGTAAGTGTAGGCTGCTCATTTATATGCATGTCTGGCATCCCCCCTCAACCACTGTGCCCTGGGCAGTAACCAGCTTTGCTCCCCCAGGGCTAGCTTTGGCTCGGAAGAGAATGTTAGCTCTCCCAGGAGAAGAGCAATTTAACACTGATTGTTCCCTGGTTATTCTCTTTCTGGAATGGCCAGTTTTGCTCTTGGAGAAAAATCCTTAACATCTGTACACTTGTGATTTCTCCTGGGAGATCAGCAACTTCCCTAGAAGAAACTAATGCTGGTATGTGGCCTTACTCTGCTCAGGAAATTGCATAACTTAATGGAAGTCCCTAAACTCTAGATGCAGGAAAACAACGATTAGTGGGTATTACAATGAGAAGGAAGAGGGTTTTTTTTTATCTCAATAACCTCATTATCAAGACACTCCTATTGTCGTTTCTCCACTTTGCTTAGTAATTATTGGATAATGAATAGACTGTACAAGAGGCAAGAGCAGGGGACAGAAGCTAGGGCCCTATTTTTGTAGGTCAGTTGCTGTTTCTGTGAGGCACAAACCATCTTCCTTACTGTGCTGGTCTCATATCTTTGCTTCTTAGTTGCCAAGTCTCCTAAATTTTAGGCATTATGATACCTAAGGAAAGATCTCTTATAAAGGCCAGCCAGGATACGTCCATCATGAGGATAGCATAATACAAAATCAGAAGACAAACTATTTGAGATGCTTTTTCAAAACATTGTGTTTGCTGTGCTTTAAGCAAACTGTATTTCTATGTTTCCAGAATTAGTTTCATAGTTTCATAGTAAGTAGGGTTGGAAGGGACCTGAGCAGATCATCAAATCCGACCGCCTGCCATGGGCAGGAAAGAATGCTGGGGTCAAATGACCCCAGCAAGGTGTCTATCTAGCCTCCTTGAGAAGACCCCCAGGGTAGGAGTGAGCACCACTTCCCTTGGAAGTTGGTTCCAGATCC